GGGGAGGGGGCGAAGGGGGGGAGGGGGGCAGGATGCAACGCGGGCACGAGGGTGACCTGGAACAGGCGGCCTCCCTGCCCCCAGGTCCTGGCACGTAGCGTGCAGACCTCCAGGCGCCTGCTGTGCATTCCAGGCCATACACGGCGGCTGTGCTGCTGCTGGGCATGGCATTGGCAGCCCCTCCTTGTCCTAGAAACGCCACCCCCACCCTTCCCAAAACAGGCATGCCGCCCGGCATGCTCGTCCCCGGCGCCATGAATCCCATGCTCGCCGGCGTCTGGCCGGGGATGGGCGGGCCGGGGCAGGTCCGGCCCACACCGCCGCCGCCGGCCCACCTCCAGGCGCCCGGCGGCGGCGGCGGCGGCGGCGGCGGCGGCGGCGGCGGCGGCGGGCGAGGATAACAATGCGTCGCGCGGCGAAGGCCCTGGGGGCAGGTCGGTGCGGGTGCTGATCTGCCACCTGGCTCCCCACTCCGAAACTCAGGCGTGCATACGCCCAGACACCCCCCACTATCCTTCTGACCATGCAGGGCCACACCCGACGACCGCCCCGACATCATGTACATGAGCTACGACGAGTATGTGGAGACCTTTGAGTCGCTCAAGGGCCAGGACAAGGCCAAGGAGGGCAAGGCCGCGAGCGGCACGGAAGAGGAAGGTGGGTGGCGGCCCTCCATGGGGGTGGGGCATGATCGGCAGTGTGTGGGCAAGGAGATCCACTGCTTGTTGAATGAGGGCAAGCACAGGAGCTGGCACAGCAGCCCCTGGGTCCCTCGCATTGGCGAGACCGTTCTGGGCGCTGCAGTGTGCTGGTGGCGTCCAAATCCTTCAATGTGCCCGGACGACCCTGGCCCCTCCCCCTGGTTGCAGCCGAGAAGCCTAAGGCTGTGCAGTCGGCACAGCTGATGAGCGAGGAGGATTACCTGGAGCACTGCAGAAAGTGGGTCTTGCCTTGCGCTGGGTGATGTCGGTTTGGAAGAGGCTGTTGCAGGAGGTTGCCGGGCGATCCACATGTCAGGCCATGCATGCAGCGCCACCCCATTCTCCTGGGTGGCCGGCTTTGGGGCGGACGAGCCTGAACATTGAGCCGGAACCCCTTGGACTCGACCATCTCCCCTTCCCAGGCCCACCCCCTCGATCGTCCCTCCTGCCAGGTTCACGGCGGAGATGGGCTTGCCCTTTGACGAGGCTGTGGTGAGGCAGCACTATCACAACATGAAGGCGACCGTCGCGGCAGATGCCGTCGCAGCGGCATGATCCACTGGCATGCGGTGGGGCATGCTGCTTGCTCGGGACGTTGCAAATCTTGACGGAGCAAATTCCATGCTCCAATGTTGCAGTGTCATAAGAAGAATGAGAATAACAAAGGGGAATCGTTTTCAGGAAGAGTGGCGCTGCATCCCTGGGCGGCCCCACGCCGACTGCCAGGCGGAGGGACATGCACCGGGACTGCAGGGGCCCCTGAGATTTGTTGAGCAAGGACAAAGGTAGGCAAGTGAATATCATGGGGGGGGGGCCCATGCAACGCAAGGAACATGGTGTCATCACACATCCAAAATGTTGCCAGAAGGCCGACTGTTTGCTCTTGCGTCACACATACGCCCGTCTGCCGCTGTACTACACAAGAGGGGCTCCTGCCTGCGACCATGTGTCTAGACACCCGCGCCTTGTGGCTCGGCCTCCGCGCCTGCCGGCCCCGACCCTGCCTCCACCGGCCCCGGCTCGGCTCCCATGGAGGACGACCCATGATCATCTGCCTGCGCCAGCTCGGCCTCCACCGCCTCCAGCACCTCCTCCGTGCTCCAGGGCACCGGCATGCGGGCCACGTAGAAGGCGTCGCCGCCGGTGCGTGCCGCGCTGCCCATGCTCTCCGAGGTGATGGAGGGGAGGAAGGCGCGGCCCACCGCCGCTGCCAGCTCCAGGTCGTTGTCGTCGTCGCAGAGGAAGAGGGCGCGGGAGAGGTCGGCGCCCCAGCGCGCCGCCAGGTGGCGCGCGGCGCTGACCTTGCCGCTGGTGGCGGGGTAGACGTCCAGTGCGCCCAGGTTCCGGGCACAGGCCAGTGACCCCGGCAGCGACCCCGCAATCTCCGCCAGCGCGGCGGCGTCGCCCCGCACGCGGAAGGCGGTGGAGTAGCCGCGGCAGTCGAAATGCAGGCGCGCGTGGCGCGTGGAGCTGAGCGCGGCGAACAGTGTCCAGAGCGGGCCGCCGCGGCGCTCCGGCTTCATGGCCGCCGCCACGGCGGGGCCGGCGGCGGGCTCATGCGCGCCGCGCCAGGCATGGTCCTCGGTCAGCGGCGCCGCGGCGTGCGCGGCCCAGCCGACCGCGCCGGGGTAGAAGATGCGGCCCCCGCTCTCGCACACGTACGCGTCGGCGGCGGGGAGCAGGGGCAGGCGCTGGAGCAGGGTGCCCGCGCGGGCGCCGCTGATCAGCACTAGGCGCACGTCCTGCCGGGCCCTGAGACGGGCCAGGCGCTCGAAGATGGTGGTGGAGATGAATCCCTGGGAGCCGGAGGCGGTGGGCGGCAGGGGGAGCAGGTCCAGGGGTGCGGTCAGGGCCGAGCCGAGGGGTGGGGGGCTGGTCCGCCACAGACCCTCAGGGGAGGTGGTGGGGAAGAGGCCCACGTCCCGCAGGGTGTCCGTGTAGTGGATCAAAGTGCCATCCAGGTCGGAGAACAGGATGCGTGGGGGCAGGGAGCTGGGCTGGGGGGTAGGTACGGCATCCGCCGGTCCATGCACGGATGTATGGGCAGGGCTGGAGTCTGGCATGCGGGTGGGAAGGAAGCTGGGCAGGACTCCTAGGGTATTAGTAAATCGATATGGGGTGATTTGAGAAAGATTTGCAGAGGTCGTGCCCCTTTGGACAGAGCTGGACCACGACCATGATCTTGCGCGGGGCTCCCGGAAGCCCCCTCGAACCTCCCTCATAAAACCTGGCGCCGTACTGGAGATGCCGAATGGATCATCCACTTGAGTCATTCTGCAACGATAAATGGTGCACCGGCACCACGAATGCGTGTATTTTCCACTCAAATACGTTTGTTTCCGTCTCTCAGACCCTGCCCCGGTGTGTTCACCGACTCAGAATAGCTGCAGCTTGGCCGCCGGGCACCCGTGCACGGACCTCCTTGTGGCTTGCATCTAGTCCCGGGAGGCGCGAAATCCCATACATCTGCCTCCAACCCACAAGGGACCCCCATGCCTCCGGATGAGCACACCAGGAAGATCATCGGGGCCATGGGGGGGACGCTGCTGGGGGCTTGTGCCATGCCGCAAATCATCAGGCTGATCAGGACGAAGTCGGCGTCCGACATCTCATATGTCTTCCTCCTGGCGTACATCTTGGGCCTCTTCCTCACCTTCCTCTACCTGTTCTGGAAGAGGGCTCTCATCACCTGGATTTGCATCCTCATCCAACTAGGTCATGTGGATGCTGTTGGTGTGGGAGAAACTGTAGATCTGCTGCCGGAGGATATATCAGAGGGCATGGACATGCGCTGGCTCTGGGTCAAGTTTCTGGTTCGAATCACTTTCTTGCCAACACTCCTGCGCGCTGCATCGATTGGTTACAAGACTTCCCCATGCAGGGTCGGGAGTGGTGGTCCTCCTGGGCAAGGTATACCTGGAGGTGCTGTCCTCCAGCGCACGGAAGACCAGAAGGGAAGCCAGGGAGCAGCGGAGCCTGGCAAGGCAGGCGCAGGCTGGCATACCAGGGTCCCAGGTCTTCCTTGTGGAGCTGAGCACTTCACATGCGGAATAAGGTAGTATGAGGAGCCGTGTTCACCAAAAGTTGGCCCACGAGGTCCTCAAGCTGATTCCAAACTTGTACCAATTCCAGATGCATTGCCTGTTTCTTTGCGTCCCTTCAAGACTCTTGACCTCCCTCAGGCTCTCACGGAACTTGCTTGTGAGTCACTCTGGATGAGATGTTGAACGATCAGAGATCCGTTGCCAGGGCGCAACACCACGTGCGAGCTGAAGTTGTAGGGCCGTAGTGCCTGTGAGGTACAAGGCCCTACAATTCGTCACGCGTCGCCGTCTTTCCTGTAATCCACTTGTGGGGCCCGCGTGCCCAACACTCCGCCTTATGGATGCATCCCGACGGCTAACGTCGAGCCCCTTCCCACTCCCGACGCACTGAGCTGGACTGCATTGGCCCCTCGCGCCATGCCCGACCAGACGACTATCAATGTCATTGGGGCGGTGGGCGGTGTCGTTCTGTCTGCCTGCCTTCTTCCCCAGCTGTACCGGCTGTATCGCACCAGGAGTGCCCGTGACCTGGCCTACCCCTACCTCTTCGCCTACTGCATCGGCCTCTTCCTCACGTTTCTGTACCTCTTCTGGGAGGGCGCTATAGTAGCCTGGATCTGTGAGCTGGTGGAGCTGGGTGGAGCCCTGCTGGTGCTGAGCGCCAAGTACTACCTGGACTTTTATGGTCCCTACTCCAAGCGGGCCAAGGAGAGGGAGGAGGGCGAGGCCGGCGACGCGACCTCTGACGGCAGCAATCCCAGGTCCCTCCCCGGCCCCGCCCGGCTGTCCTTGACGTCCTGCAATGGCGACTTGGAGAGGGGAGCCTCCCCCCGTGCCCCGACCGATGTCGACGGGCTGGGACTGGGCGGCGTGACACACAAGCGCGACATTGGTTTGACGAAGCACGAGACGTGAGACCCACTTGGGTCAGTTCTTGCCACCCCTTGAAATCTGCCCAGGTGCTTGGCGCCTGCAATGCTGATGGCTTTGAGCCACGCCTTGCCATCATTCCACCCAGCTGCTCGTCTTCCAAGCTTTGATGGGCAGCCTGCACGCTGCCATCGTCTGTCCCCTCTCGCGAGCCCCCTTGCTCCACCACCTGCCGCCATCACCCCTGGCCCCTCGCCTATCTCTGGCACCCGTCACACATTCTCCTCCCCCTGCTCATGTGAGATTGCCTCGAAGTCCACCTAGATTTACAGACGGGTTCCTGGACAGGCAGCAGTCGCAGGACTGGTACAGGGAGTTTCGCCGGGGGTGTCGGGCCCGCAGTGTCGGCTCCTCAAAAAAGGGGTTCCTGGGTGCAGGCGCGGGGCCGGACACCGTGTCGGGGAGGGCTCTGGTGGAGTGCCGCTGGTTACCGGGCCTCCTGGTCAAGCGCAGTGCATGTCTCAGCTCTGGGAAAGGAGTGTGCCGCGGCGGGCCTCGCTGGTCGACTGGCGGCGCAGACTGCGGCGGCCGCCACCGCCGCGGCGTGATTTCCAAGGGCCGGCATCAGAACACGCGCGGCCCGTCCCCGCGCGCCTCAGGGCCGGCCGCCACCGCCGCCCCCCGTCATTTGCCAGTACAGCTGCGCGGCGAGGTAGGGGTTGACCCTGGGCAGCGCCTTGTGCACGGCCTGCCCGTCGGCGGGCGGCCGCTGCGCGCCGTGGTGGGGCACGGTGGGCATGGCCACGCCGCCGGCGTGCAGAAAGGAGGGCGGCAGCGCCGAGGGGTGCATCCAGGCGGCGTGGTGCGCCTCCGCCGCGGCGGCCTGTTGCGCGCGCTGGCGCGCCACCGCGGCCGAGAAGTAGGCGTTCAGCACCGCGTGCTCGTGCAGGCCGCCGGGAAGGGTGGAGGGGGGGGGGCGGCCGGGGGACGCGGGGCGGGCCGCGGCGCGCGGCGGCGCCTGGGCGTGCGGTGGCGCCTGAGGATGGCCCTGCGCCTGCGAGTGCCCGGGCCTCTGGGCGTGCCCCGGCGCATGCATGTGCCCTGACGCGTGCGCTGCCCAGGCCTGCGCCTGGGCGGGCGGGTGAGCAGCGGGCGGCGCGGCGGCGGGTGGCGGCGCGGCGGCCTCGCTGGCCGAGGAGTCGCAGGTGGAGGCGGGCGCCAGCGCGGTGCGGCGCCGCCGCTTCACGCGCGCCAGCGCGCTCCACAGCGCGTCCTCCTCGTCCTGGACTGGCGTGCTGCGCTGGCGCTGGGGTGGGGCGCAGGGCGCGGCGGCCTGCCTCGCGGTCGCGTGCCCCGCGCCCTGCGCGGCCGCCTGCCTCGCGGCCGTGCGCTGCGACCGCGGCGCCGGGGCAGGGGCTGGCGGCCCGAGCTCGGGTCCCCGAGGCGCCCGGCTCACCACGCCGGCATCCGCGCCCGAGTCCTGCCCGCCGGAGCGCAGCGCGCGGGGCGCGGGGCCGGTGTCGTCGCCCCGCCCCGCGCCCGCATCCGAGGAGGCGGGCCGGGGGTGCGCGGTGAGCTGCGCAGGGGGTGAGATTTGGAGCAGTGAGGCCAGCGCTGAGGAAGGGGAACCCGCGGCTCCAAGCGTCGAGCCACAGGCAGGTGCCCGCGGTAAACTCACCGTGTAGCTGAAGGGGTCCTTCCTCCCGCCGCGTCCCTCCCGCTGCAGCTCCCCCTCGGTGACCAGGCAGCGCAGCGCCTTGGAGGTGTCGGGGTTGTTCCCAAACTCTTGCCTGGCAGGGGGGAGGAGAAGGAGGGAGAGGGGGGGGGCAACGAGGATTGGGGTCAGAGTGTGTGCGGCGGGGCAGAGTGGGTGGGAGGGGTGGGATCTGGGTGACCACGGCGCGGCCTCGATCGGCGACCGACCCCTCCTCCCCCCCTTTTCGTATCCACAGTGCGCCACGTTTTCTACCTGAGCACGCGCTCCGGCACGCCCCGCATGCCGGCCGAGCGGTAGGAGACCTCGTGAATGGTGACGTACTCCAGGATGGAAAGTGCGGCCTGGCCGACGCGCGACGACTGCGGTGGTGGGAGGGGCCCAGGCGTGAGCTTCTGGGGATGGAGACCCTGATGGGTCAGAGGACCCAAGGGGGTTACCAAATGCCATGCTTGGACACTAGGAGGTCAAATTCCAACATCAACTACAGTGAAAGCCACCCTGCCCAGCTCACAAGGCTGTAGGTCTTGGGACACCGGGCGTCCCCGCCATCCTCGCCCATGCTGGGCTCCGCCATTGATCCTGCCCGTGTTTGGAGGTGTCAGTGAGACACCATGGAACCAGAGTGGTTCAGATCTGTGAGGGATTTCCTGTGACATTGCCACTCCACGAGCATACCTGGCATTCAACATCTCCATGAACTCAGCCCCCCAACCCTCACCCATGCGCTTGCGGGCGTCGTCCTCGTAGGAGAGGCGGCGGTGGGGCACGCCGGGCATGCCCTGGCCATCCACCCTTCCCAGTGCGCCCCCGGGCCCCGCCCCCTCCCAGGCCGGCCTGGAGGCGGGGTCGGGCTGCCGCTGCTCGACGCCCACGGCGCCGTCTGGCCCCGCCTGCGCGGCGGTCTGCTTGCCGTTGGCCAGCCAGGCCAGCGCCTCGGCGGCCTCAAAGTCCATGCTGGTCCGGACGGGCGCGGCGGCAGCTCCGGGGAGCAGGGGGCTTGTGGGCGTTTCGTCCCCGGCACGGTTGCGCGGCCGCAGCGGGGAGCGCTGGGTGCTCATCAGCGTGGCTGAGGCACTCACCGCTGTGGGGAAGGGCGGGGGGGGAGATGTGCGCAGGAGAAGGGGGGGGTAAAAACGAGGGTTCCCGTGATTGATGCAACACTGCACCCGTGAGCTTAAGCAGTCGCCAGATGCCATGGCAGTGCAGTCTTCCCCCTCACAAGCCCCGCCGCGCCAAGCCCACCATTGCAGAGTGGGTGCTCCCCTTCATAGTCGGGTGTGGGGGCTGGCATGGGGGAGGTGTTGCACCCCGAGGGCTCCGCCAGTGCAGCGAGTGTGCGGCCCGGGAGGGTGTGGTGGGCGCGGCCTGCGGCACTGACCTCCTCCACCTGCGTGGGCGGTGATAGGAGTCGGTACGGGGCCTCCCCATGGTGGACGCGGCACCGCCCAACCAGCCCCCTGGCGCACACACCTTGGGACCCGGCGCAAACATGGGCGACAGCTTCGCCGGGAAGCGACCGGGTTGGGCCATGGCTACCAACAGATGCCTGTGCGGGGGGTGCTGCGCGACGTGTCAGGGGGATGGCGAGGCATCGCGGAGCACTCCACAGTCATGGTACCAGGTGGCAAGCCAGGAGCCGGAGCCCCCGCCATGGTGGGCGACATGCCCTGCATCTCTCGAAGCACTCCGCAATTCGACCGCTGAGTCACCTGTCGCGGGTGTGTGCTTCCGTGTCGCGCCTCTGGCACCAGCGCAATCTTCGATCACTACCCTGTGCCTATTTGAAGCGATGTGAAGGGCGATCTGGGTACGGGCAGGGTCCGAGTTCAAGTGGGTGGGGGCCGGCGGTGTGGGCGGGGTGGGTCCGGGGAAGCGCAGACGACCCTCGTCACCGATGGCCTCCGCAATGCTGGATACGAATATCTGGGTCACAGCAGGGTGCCAGGGGGGTATGGGCTCCTCGCGGCGCCGGCTCCATGATTTGAAACCATCTGGCGGAGCGGGTGTTCCGATGGGAAAGGCGGGAAATGTTCGTGCCCGGCATGTGGGCGCCTGGATTGTTGTTGCCCGCAGCTGTCGTCCGGATATTTAAAGGGTGGTCAGCTTTCAGGAGCCCCACAATGGGATGAGCCCCTTGATGACCCCCATTGCAGGTATACCGAGCTGGGTTTTGAGGGGAAGAAGGGGAATTCCACAACACAGGAGGTTGTTTCCCCAGCAGTATCGCAGGTTAACAACAAGGGTACCCGGAATCATTGCAGCCGCCTTGCTGCTCACCTTGGAGTCTCCTGGCACCAAATTTAGTTCGAGATGACATTACATCGCATTCTGGTCTCAATTCACGTGGGAATTGTCTTGGCTACATTGCTGTAGCTGCCCCAACTCTGTGTGACAGGCAGGTCACAATGGAAAGTGTTGCACAAGGGACATGCCCAGTCCAAGTACCAAGGAGTCAGTATCAAATTTTTCCACCACTGAGGCTCCAGTACTCTTATGCATACCAAGCTGTTGTCAGGATGGGGTGGCTTGACTTGTGTTGTACTTAACATGGACCCCTGGGAGTGATTGGGCATCCATAATGAAGAAATCTATCATTTAGTGCATGAGTATATTCCTAAGAGCATTTGTCTTCCCGGGAGTAAGCAAAAGCTCTTGGAGGACTTGGATGGATGTCATCAATAGCCCACTGCACGGTCCTGAGCAGGCTGCCATGCCCCAGTGTGGCCCAAGAACACGATGTAGCGCATGGGTTTATTTTAAGAGACGAATGTGGGCCTGCCCTGGTGCAAGATGAGCATGTCTCCGAGTGGCCCCTCCTTGAACATCTAGCGGTGCCAGGGCGGTGGTCCACCTGGCGCATATCTCCCGCGCGGGTCTTGATGACGACCCTCCGCAGCACACCCGGTAATAAGTGTGGCCTTGGCGTCTTTCTCTCGAGATCATGGCTGCTTCACCTTGATCATCGATATCACGACGGGGCTGGTGCAACCGCCTGGGTGATGTCCCAGACACACTCCCACGCCACCCCCTGTTCCCCTTCCGGAGTGGATGCCCGGCGTCCCTGGCGCCCTGATTAGGAAGGCAGAAAGGGGTGTAAGATCATGAAATTCGCGCGATACATTCAAGGATTGGAGCACGACTGTCCGCCTGAGTGGGCGGGCAAGTTTTTGAGGTAGGTCAGGATATGCGCGGGGATATGCTTTGTGGATGAGATGGGCCCGGTTCGCCGTCCATCGCCGAACCCTCAGCTACGAAATGTGTCGCACAGGTACAAGGAGTTGAAGAAGCTGCTGAAGCCCCTCTCTTCCGAGCAGTCTCAAGAAAATGGCGGACCGGAAGCTGGGGAGCAGGCACTCGGTCCCGCTGCCGAGCATGACGAGGAGGTGTTCTTCAGCACCTTACGGGCTCAGATGAAGGTGGTGGACAGGTAGGTCTGCGTACAAGCGATGGTGGAGGAGGTCAGGCAGGCGGCATGGAGGCGCATGTGCATGCATGGACATGCATACGCATGCCCTTCCCGTGCAGTTGCGTGATCGGTAGTGCGGCAGCCTTGCATCGCCCCACCGCACTCCCTGCCAGCATGGTCGTCACCCCTGCCTCCGATGTGCCCGCCCCGCAGGCAGTTCCAGAAGCAAGCCTGGGCCACCATCACCGCTTTCGAGCGCTCCCAGTTCCGCAACCCCGCCCTCTGCTTCCTCTGCGTGTTTCGATGGAGGACTGCTGACAAGGTGGGCGTCCAGAGCGTGCCTGGGAGGGGACGGGCATGGAACAAGCACCGGTGCTCCAGAGCAGGTGCCAGGCTGCTGTGCTTGGCGGCGTGCTTGGCTTGCAGCCTGGCAAGGAGCAGGGATGCCTCTGAGCATGCTCACATCGCAGCTCGCCCCTCCGCGCAAGTCTGCTCCACCCCCACTCCCCCCACCCTCCCGGGCACCCGTCCCTGCGCCCCTGCAGAACTCCCGGCTGGCTCAGCAGGCCTATTGGTGCATGAAATTCGCCAAGGCCAACGCCGTAGCGCTGCGGAAGATCCTCAAGAAACACGACAAGGTCGCCCGCAACCTGCGCGGACGACAGTTTCTGCAGGCAAGTCAGCCTCGCTGCCTTTCCT